AAGCTTCATATGATTTTTTTTATTTACTTGGAGCTGGATGCGAATCCCAAAATCAAAATCTAAGTGCCGTGCAATGGGAGAGGCCTATGTCCAGCAGTTGTCTGCGATAGGCTGATGATGATGATAGGTATATCAGACTTTTACATTATATTTAGAGACTAGCTGAGACCCGCGGTGTTACCCGCGTTTTTTGTTATAACCGCCGGCAACGCCGCGGGGCGAAGCTAGTCTAAAAAAAGTAGCCTAAGTTACTCCTTATGTCATCAGCTATCTGCCAGTGAAAGTCCCGTCGAAATCGGTCCAGCCGTTCCAGAGATTACCCGGAACAAACAGACAGACAGACAGACAAAAATTCTAAAAAATGTTATTTTATCATATGTACCGTGTAAACATACATATGCATTTAGTAAAAAGCGATTATTTTAATATTATAAACAGACACTCCAATTTTATTTATTTGTATAGATTGCATTTATCGTCTATTTATACATTATTAATTAGATCTCATTCCGTGAATTTTTAGATTTCTGATTATTGTCTGGGATTACACATTCCTAAAACATTACGAAAACTCATAACAATCCTATACAAGATTTATTTATTCATTTAATTATGTTCTATTAAGAACAGATTTGGAATAATACAAAACTAGATTGCTAGCTAGCTGCCTTCATGATAATCTTCAGCTTTTATCCCAGGTGAATGGCAAGATTTAAAAAATTATTATTTGAATTCTTATTTCGTAGCGGTGTTCAGATAATAAATGACGTCTTAAGTAGTAGCTTATGGCGATACTGAGAAAATAATTAATTTGAAGAAAATTGTTATTTGTGTATATTGGCAATCTTATCAAGAACTTTGATTACCTTTTTTAACAGTAGCTTTAAATTTAAATTGTCAAAGCAATTATAAGTAAGTAAATTGGTCAAAAGGTTATTTTTCTATTCATTAATTTGGGTTAGTTGCGAAGATCAGTTTAAGATGCAGCGATGAAATAATGTTTTAAAAACACATATCTAATACTATACTAAAGTTATTGATGTGCAACTGAAAACAACACTAATGAAATTAAACGGTTATATCAGAGCTATACGATACACTAATACGGCAAAAGAGGTTTTAAACAGTTGGCATTTGAACCGACTTCTAAAAAGGAGGAGGTTCTCAATTCGTCGGAATCTCTTTGTACATTATACTTTACATTTATGAAAAAATAAAACAAAGTCACACATGTTTTTGACTGACATGTTTCTGTACAAATTACAAAATATGCTTGAAAGAAGCACTTATATTTTTCCAAGTTTTTTTTTTGCAATTTTTGGTGTTTGAAAAAATACAAGTTTTTTTTTCTACGTTTTTTTTTCAAACACCAAGTTTTGTTTTATTAAAATCTTTGTCAGTAATATTACCAACAATAACTAATAATAAATTTGCGAAGTCAGGCCATCCTTTATCAAAAGTCTTCTTTTCTTATAGAAGAGGGGACAAATGAGGACACCTACCGCCGCCCTATGAACGCCTGCAAATCAGGAGTCAAAAGCGAGTTGATGGCCTTTAACGAAGGAGTACGCTCTTTTCTTACAGGTTTGAAGGTTGTATAGGTCCGGGAATACCGCACACAATAACTTGTTCCACAGATTGGTTGTGCGAGGCAAAAAGTGTCTTGTGTACAGTGATGGAGTGCTAATTATCCAAGTGGTGTGGATGAAAATTGATGGTGGAAAGTTGCGGTCGGTATTAGTCCGAATAATTCCTCGGAGCACTCTCCATGATGTATAATACAGAGAATGCAGAGTGAAGCTATATCTCTACGTAACGCCAAGGGATCGAGCCGGTCTGAGATCTTTTGGCCATCGGCGATTCGATTACTCTTCTTTAGATGCGATCCAGAGGGAGAAGCTGGCACTGGGGTGCGCCTGCATAGAGATGAGAATAGTATTCCATATATGGCTGAACTTGCGCCTTCTGGAGTTGAAGGCGGTGGGCCGGAGTAAAATACTGCCTCAATCTGTTCGGCACACCGAGCTTTTTCGAGCCTGACACTGGGGACCTGTTATACAATTTCTCGGGAAGTCTGATGTCTATTAATTTAAAATCCTAATTGAAAAACTCCTTTAAAAACATTGTTAAAACTTAGTTGTAAAAGAAACGATGCACCGTGTTGGGCTCGGTTCATAATATGGTATAACTTAGAATATATAGTACTTAAAAATTAATAGCCGAGCAGTCTTGTCATGTCGGTTCTGGCAAACTCCAGTCAAACAAGAAGAGAAGTAAGGTTATACAGACTCATTAAGTTTCCAAAAGTAATTTGAACATAAAAAATAAACTGAGCGATTTTCATACTAATCCTCGAGATAGTTGGTTATTAGTCGAGATAATTAGTAGTGCACAGTATTTTTTAGATAACACTTCATCATTAACACACTATATTTGGTACTCAATAGGATAACAAAAACTTTAGCTTAGGTATCTGTACATATGATACATGTGTTAGGGAAATAGTGAATAGAATCAATATAATATCATATATTGATGACCGAATGGCGTAGTGATTTGTGTAACGGACTGCTATTCCAAAGGTCGCGGGTTCGATTCCCGCTCAAGTCAAACATTTGTGTGCATGAACATTAATTAATGTTTGATTTGGGCTGGGTGTTTCTATGTATAATAAGTATGAATTTACAAAAAAAAAAGTATATATGTATTTATATCAGTTGTCTAGTACCCATAGTACAAGCTCTGCTTAGTTTGGGACTAGATGGCGTTGTGTGAATGTGGTACAATATTATTATTATTATTATTAGTTATTCCACAAAATTTTTAGATACTGCTTGAAACTACTAGAAATCAAAGTGTAAACAAGGCTTTAAGTCAATTTAATAAATATGTAGTAGCAACAAAGTAGCAGTGTCTAAACCTGCAATAAAGTTCGTTTATCAAGGCTACCATCAACGTACACACTTAATGGTAAATTATACGACAGTCCGGGGGTAATATGGCGGAACCATCAATTATAACCATGGCAATTTTCCTATAAACATTTTATACTATAATTTTCTAATCGTATCATAAAAGAATTAGTGCTTTAAAATACGTTTAGTCGTAGTAGGTACTTTGATAATATAATACGTGCACAGTACACATACACACAATATAATAGTGGGGAAGCCCTAGAAGGGATTTCAGAATTTACTCGAGCGTGTCAGATTAAGATAGGAGGAATACCTAACACCAAGTTGAGTACCTTCACCATACATGAGCCTTGCACCACCACATACACCATCACCATCATCAAGTAGAGTTAAAAAAAAATTGATGCTCAGAAATACTCGAAAGTGTAAGATTAAGGTATGTTGAGTTAATTACATACACATTAGTGTGTTTCAAAAAATCTGATGATTTTTGAAACCACAGTGGGCAGGTCACAAAGTAGTAAAAAAACACATGACCTTGAATTTTTATTTTTTATTTTTAAGCAAACAATGCAAGAAATCTTCTTTAAATGTCCAAATAATTTTTAGTGCCTTTATTTGTCACATTTTACAAAAAAAAAACAAAAAAAATTTAAGCGTCAGATTTAAACTAACCAGCAAACTTACCGTCAAATTTTTGGCTAGTATGGCTAGCAGTTTGCATTTTCAAAAATTCGCTACGAGCTTGTGTCGTAAAGTTATATAATGTTTCCGCTTTCAGCGGTGGGAAAAGCTTCTGCAGGTTTTCAAAAATATAATATTCGACTGCACGGATGGCGTAGTGGTTTAAGCGGTCGCCACGCTGCTTCCTACTACGCCGAGTGTTGTGGGTTCAAACCCCACATGGGACGACACTTTGTGTGATCCACAAATTGTTGTTCTGAGTCTGGGTGTTCTTTGTGTCCGTTTCATGTATGTTTGTAAAGTCCCCCGCGACACAGGATATATTCCTAATGCGGGAGTTGTCTTTTAAAAAAAAAAAAAAATAAAAAAAAAAAAAAAAATGGATGGAAATCGAAGAAAAATATCTGATGTGCCCAAATATATTTTTTCGATTTCCATCCCTTATATTTTTTTAAACCTGTATAAGCGGAAACTTTATATAACTTTTATTCATTCTATTATCTTTCAAATGCAATAGGTCCCCCCATGACGCTCGAGTAAATCCATAATTAATTCTTCAATTATAAAAACTTATCAATAACGTAATTATTGATAAGTTTTTATAATTGAACTATTTCACATAAGTACTAATAATACTATAAAGTCTATTATTTAGTCTTTCATAAGTAACAAAATATTCAGATATTTCCTTAAAATTATATTTCGTATAAAATGTCGTAAATATGCTAATTTGAAATGACAGTCAAGTATCTGTTTTACAGTTTTGTTAGCCGATATTTATACAAAGAGGTAAGGGGTCTGACAGGCCTCAACTAAGGCTTGTGATGAAACAAGGGTATGAAGGATTATTAAAGACAGGTAAATGGATTAAAGCTTCGAAACTGACATAACATTCATTGATTTGGAAAAGGTACTCAAATAAAGTGAAATTGACCACGATGGTGGATGTTATAAAAGCGGGGTCTATAGGAGCAAGAAATTTAAATCAATAAGAAATAGAGTAGTTATTAAACAAGGGGTGATGCAATTATGTTCTATATAACCTATATCGGAATATTATATACAATATCGGTCGTAAGACGCTTAACAGGATATTGCTAATTAATTAAGAGGTGGGAATGAAAGTTATGTGGTGTTAGGTAACAGAGAAAAAGTTAATTCGAATGCATTTTCTTATGTTTTTTTTTGTTAGAGGGGGCTGACGAGCACACGGGTTACCTGATGGAAAGTGACCATCGCCGCCCATGCACGTCTGCAACTCCGGAGTCATTATTATTAATGGTATGTTGCACGTCAGTTTTATATTATTTTTTTTTGTTTATAAGTTAAATTTCGTCATTACTTATCTGAAAACTGAAAGAACTGTCGAGATTTATGTGATGTAAAAGAATCTTTAAGTACCTGGCACTCCGCATCCCCAACGTAACAGCAGTCACCAGAAACAGAAGTAGGCGACCAAAGGTGTTCGCCGCTGATAGCAGCATCACTCCAATCGGGCGTCGAGCGCAGCACTCGCGCTCCACCTCCGGTATCACCTGTCCGTCTGTAAAGAAGAAAATAATTATACTAAGATGATTATTTTCGAGTTTTGATAGATTAATTCAGCATTTAGAGGTACTATGTCAAACTCGTTTGCAAATATTAAGTGGAACATGTAATAATAATCAAGTATATGAGATGTTGCTAGTATGGGTATCTAAGGTAAACGAGTAGATTAAAACTGTTGGCGTTGATTCGTTTATGACTGCCTCGGTGGTGCAGTGGTATGCGACTGTTGTGCTGAGGATTCGGGTTCGATTGGGTGTCTTCTATGTACCTATAATTTACTTTATTTACAAAAAAAAGTATTTTTGTATTCTATCTAGCTTACATAGTACAAGCTCTGTTTAGTTTGAAACTAGATGGCGTTGTGTGTCAGATAGCCGAAAATATTATTATTATTATACTTCACGCTATTATTATGATCATATTGATATTTAATAAGATCGTCTGTGATAAATATAAACCAGCCAGTTCAAAAGATAGATTGTGTTTCATTAGCAAACCCTCTCGTATTTACGAGAGCAAGGAGTTTAACTTTAGCTTAGGTAGCTAACAACCACAAATAATATACTTCTTAAAAACCCTTTTTCCAACAAACCACAAGTTACTGCGTGCTCTGCTTACTTTAATTAACTTATGTAAAAAAATCGATAACAAGTACTTAATTAAGATAGGCCCATGTCCAGCAGTGGACTGCAATAGGCTGATGACGATGTTGATGATGATGAAGTACATCTATGGTAAACACATTTTGAAGCTTGTATGGCCTCAAGTCTTGATGCTGGTAGTGAGATAAATGATATAATTCGTAATGTATTGTTACGACATCGTTTTATTGAGTCCATATTTTAGTAATGAGAATTAATGTCATAATTAATATATCCTCCCGATAAATTGTTTGTATAGAACATCCATAAAAAGTATAAAACACTATATCGTTCAATGTTCCCGATATAATACAATTATGATTATAGAGATTTGGCGCCAAATTCTCATCGCCCACATAAATGTCGTCTGACGTCCACAAATAGATGACGTAAGTAAAATAGTATTTATACACAAAGCCAAATATCTATTAATGTTCGAGTAAATTTACTTTTAGGATAAGAAATACTGAAGTCATTATACCTGTAAATGCAATGTTTTCAGGCCGTACTACAATTAATTCTACAAACTATACGTTGCGGGCTAATAGAATAGATTTTCTTTTCATAAAGCCGTGATGTGTGTATACGACTTGACCCTTATTCCGTAAAATGTCAAAAGCCCGAATTGAACCTATTATATATACACATACCGACCGCCGTCAAGTCAACAGATTTGTTTTGTTTGCTCTTGAAATGTTACACATAAGTGAGTTTATAGTGCAAAGTTGAGTGTTATTTCTTCAACATAGTTGTAATACGTCATTCTGAGTGCAGAGTACTGATAATTGAACAATAATAAACTGACAAAAACAATAAATAAACAATTAATCAAAAGTTCGTTAAAAATCCCGAATGAATCAGTGACAAAGAAGCTTCGTCGGCCGGAACGCGTAAGCGACATCCACTGCACGGCGCTTACGACCTTTTGGCCGCGACATCTCACAACGGCTAGCTTCAGGTATCTATTGCGCTTTATTTATTTCAATCAATACCAAAGATATCAGCTACATTACTACTACTATCACTTAAAGCGCTTTATACCTACTTGAGTTTCTCGAATGTAATAATTGCAAACCATGTCAACAAAGACTTGCGCTGGTTGTACGAATACTTTTAAAAGTAAAGAAGGCTTACAATGCAATATTTGTCACAATTGGTATGATTTGCTGTGTGTAAACGTAACAGAAAGGCGTTTTAAAGCAATGAATACGGACAGCAAAAGTACATGGAAATGTCCTGAGTGTCTAAACAAACTACCTAAAGGTGACAACACCAATACACCCGTTCGACCTACTCGGCTAGATAGCCCTACAAAACAACATCGTAAGACCTCGCCCACCGACACCAACGTAACTTTGCGTAGCAAGCAGCCGAAACAACTAGCATCCGGTCAGGACTGCAATATACTACTCACGGAGATTAATAGTAACACTCTGAGAGAGATGATTAGGCAGGAGTTTGATCGTGCCTTACAGGTTACTGTTCAAAAACTAATCAACGAACAAGTTAGTAGAATCAACGACATTATTTCCGGTTTTCAACAATCTTTATCATTTTTCGACAATCAATATGAAGACATGAAAAATATTTTATTGGAAAGAACTACACAGATCCAAAACCTAGAAAAAGAAAACGCCATGCTTCGCGGTTCCGTCCATAATATCACCAGCCGCATGAATGTGATGGAACAGCACGCTCGGGCTAATAATATTGAACTGCAATGCGTACCAGAACATCGATCCGAAAACCTTCTGACTGCCATACATCAGCTTGGTAAAGTGATTAATTGCGATGTGAAGGACAGTGACATAGCGAATTGTACGAGGATCGCCAAAAAAGACCCTCAAAGTAAAAGACCGAGAACTATTCTCGTAAAATTTGTCACTCCTCGATTGCGCGATAACTTTCTTGCCGCTGCTATAAAGTTCAACAAAAATAAGGCTATAGACGCAAAACTGAACACAAGTCATCTAGGAATTGCGACTGACAAACCACTACCTATATTCGTTGAAGAACATCTCACTGCGGAAAATAAAGCAATTCATGCAGCTGCGCGCATTCGTTCAAAAGAGATAGGTTATAAATTTATTTGGGTTCGAAATGGCAGAATTCTAATGAAAAAAGATGCCACCTCGGAAACAATAACTGTGAATAATCTTGACAAATTAAAGTTACTTGTATAAACCGTTGTTCAAATTAAGGGCCTATAACTTGCTACATATCTTTAGGATTCGATTGTATTAATATATATTACCAGAATGTTAGAGGACTGCGCAGTAACATAAGCGAAGTACGTCAACAAATAAATAATAATGTATACGATGTCTATATCCTTACTGAAACCTGGCTGTGTGATGGCATATTTAGTTCGGAAATATTTGACAATACGTTTGCAGTTTACAGAAGAGACCGGGAGACCTCTAGTTTTTCTCACCACAAAAATTCAGGAGGAGGTGTTTTAATAGCAATTTCAAATAAATTCAAATCCAATCGTGTATGTGAATGGGAGAGCGTTTACGAAGATTTGTGGGTGGTTATACAATTACAATCCCGAACCAACAGTAGAAGCATATCTTTAAGAGTGTGTGCTGTCTATTTATCACCCCCCGTAAATAGTAACATGTGCGAAATTTTCCTGGAAAACTGCAACACAGTAATGGAGACAGATAGTAACGGTCCTATTTTGTTGGTCGGCGACTTCAACATGAGTTCCGTTGAATGGGAATTCCAACAATGTCCAGAAAGTGGATCAATGGTATCTGAGGGCAGCTCTGGTCGCCTCAAAGAACTTATATCAGACTTTATTACTCTTAATAATCTTAGACAATTTAATAATATTAAAAATTTCCAAAACAAGACCCTTGACTTAATATTATCTAATATTGATCAAATACAAATCAGTGAATGTTTGTTTCCACTTAGAAAAATTGACAAGTATCACCCGGCCCTGGACATTGTACCCGTCTTACCCATTAGTGCTAAAACGAAACCGAGACTTGTTAAAAAATACAACTTCTATAGGGCTGACTATGACGCGATCGTGGAATCACTTAACACGGTTAATTGGAGCAATGCTTTGGGTTCATACGCTGATGTTGATACTATGGTTGACGGATTTTATGCCATTATTAGGGATGCTATTGAGAGATATGTTCCTAAAAATAATTACTCTCGGGGCAAATACCCCATTTGGTATTCTCATGAACTAAAGAAACTTTTAAAACAAAAACTGAAATTAAATAGAAAGATTAAAAAATATAAAAATCCTTTAGATATCATAGAATTTAATTACTTAAGGAAAGACTGTGACCAACTGATGAAACAATGTCATAAATCATACATAACAAAAATGGAACATGCAATCAAAAAGCATCCTAAGTATTTTTGGACTTACATGAAAAATCTGCGAAAAAGCGTAGAGTCCAAATACCCATCCACTATGAACTACGGTGATGTCTTTGCTAATAACCCCAAAGAAGTTTCTAATTTGTTTGCGGAGCACTTTGGTTCTGTTTATGACCCTATAGAAGACTTTAGACGTGATGAATTACCATGTCGTAAAACCTTATTTAATTTTAATATACCGATATTAAGTGAGTTCTCAATATCATCTGATGATGTATATAAGAGGCTATCTCAGCTTGATCTATCAAAGGGTGCTGGTCCCGATAATATTCCGCCGCTTTTCTTTTCCCGTTGCGCACGCTGTTTATCAGCGCCACTGGCAATTATCTACAATACTTCGTTAAGGCTGGGCACATTTCCTTATATCTGGAAGAAGGCTAGAATTGTACCCATACACAAAAGCGGCGCACGTAACCAAATTGTTAATTATCGTCCTATTTCAATTCTCTCAGCCTTGTCGAAGGTTTTTGAATCGATTGTATATCCAGTATTTTACAACCACATTAAACGCTTTCTGTCTCCCAGTCAGCACGGTTTTACGGTGAAAAAATCGACAAACACTAATCTTGTTGATTATGTCACTGATCTAGTAGCCGCAGTAGATCAGGGTCTGCAGATAGATGCAATATATACTGATTTTTCAAAGGCCTTCGACAAGGTTAATCATAAAATACTGGTGGGTAAGTTGGAATTGATGGGTATTGCGGGCGATAGTCTGGATTGGTGTCGATCGTATTTGGATTCTAGATCATCATCAGTAGCTGTGGACGGGGAAGAGTCTGAGCCATTTGTTGCAACGTCTGGCGTACCCCAAGGCTCCAATTTAGGGCCATTGTTCTTTAATGTTTTTATAAATGACATACCATCTGTATTTAAAAATTCAGTATCATACCTTTTCGCAGACGATTTGAAAACAATTCGAATAATCAAAAACGAAAGCGATGTAACT